AATTCCTGTTAACACCGGGTTTAGGCAGAAGAGCCTATCCCGTGGGCTTAGTGTTCTTTTCTCCGCTGTTTTCCAGGCTGTTCTCCTTTCTTCCCTCCCTTTCTTCCTTCAGTTCATGCTCATTAAGCCCTACTCTCCACAGATGCTGGGCCAGGTCCCGGGCATACAGGAGCGAACAGGCAGAACCCTGCTCAGTGCAGGGCAGGCTGCAGACAATTCCATCCGCAGTTACAACACACCCAAGGTCATGCTGGAAATGCGTGGGGATGGTGAGAATACACAGAGGCGATCTCCCTCTGTCCTGTGGGGTGCTCCCAGGGAGGCTCTCTGAGCCCTGAGGGGTGAGGGTGTGAGTGCCGTCTCTCCACTACGCCTCCAAGATGATTTTCTGGGCTGGGAGGGGTTGGAGGGTCTCCCAACTGCTCTCCAAGTGGCTTAGACTAACGCCACCGCTGGGGAGAGAGTAGAGGTCCTCATGACTGCCGGGTGGGGTGGGGGTCCAGCTCCACATGTGGGCAGCACTGACACCACAGAGTGGGGGTACCCCACTATTGCCTGGGGGGCATGAAAGTCCTGGCTCCCTTCCTGGCCTTCTCTGATACCACCCTGGTGACTTGTGACAGCCTGGTGGGTGGAAGTCTGCCCCCCACTCTGCCTGTGTTGGCATGGGTTGGTGGGACCCCCACTTTCTCTGGGATGGAGAAGTTATTGTCTTAAGCTTCTGTTTTGCTAGGCTGCTCCTTTCCTAGTTCTTTGGCAAGAAAGAGATGACTTTCTTCTGTGCCTGTTTACTTTTCCTGGCTGCTGACTTCTCCAGGCTGGCGTCTCTCCATGGCTGGGATACATGAAGTAAAAAGAAAACCCAGAGAACTCAGCAACTCACATGTCATTCCTCGGGCTCCAGGGCCCCTTGCCAGATTCCTTTCTCTCCACCTTTCGGTCTCCCCAAGTTTGTTTCACATGGAAAATCCAGGGTTTAGTTGTACCTAGTGTGAGGGATATAGGAAATGACTATTTCCTCTTTCTGGAAGTGGCAGTTCATGTGTTTAAGGACCAGGCAAAGAAGTGACTTACTTTGTTTCTGATGACATTTTGCTTTAGGGCCTCCGTCTCCTGGTTCCTCTAGATGTGGGTGGAAGTGAGGCTTGCCACTTCTGGGCCTGACCGTAAGACACCCACGCCCTTCCCCATGTGCTCCATGGTAACAGTGGGGACCAGTGTTGAAGGTGTTGGCATCTTGAGCTGGAAGGAGTCCGGATCCTTCAGTCGCCACTTGGGAGATCTGCCTGACTTTCCTTAGTCTATGATGTGAGTGAAAAATAAACCTTTATTGTATTAAGCCACTGAGATTTTAGGGCTGTTTGTTACAGCAGGTAGCATTATTTATTCAGATGAGAGATGAGAACATTGCTTAAAATCTCTCTTCTTCATTTTGTTCCCTAAGTGATGGACATCAAGGTTTATCACTTAAACTAGTCTCTATGCAATTTTTTTTATGTTATCCCCTTGACCTTCTGCTGTACCTACCCCAAACCATTCATTCGCCATCACTCCAGCCGACCATTTTCCCCTGTCATGTTCTGGGGCAGCTGAGTGCTACAGGATAAAATTAGATAAGGGTGCCAGTTAGCACTAAATTTGGAAATTTAGTACCCTTAGCAATCCTTAAACACACCCCCATCAGTTCTCTGTATCATTCTCTATAGCTGCTATTTCAAAATTTTACCATTATTTTCAATTCCCCATTTCAACTCCTTCCTGCTTTTTATAGTAGAAAAAATCCTTCATAGAAGTGTAAACTTCTCAACTTGCTGTCCTCACACTTGGAAGCTTTTCTCTATATTTCCTATATTCTATATTCACATCTTTCCTTTCTTTCTTCTAGTTCCACAGACAGATCACCTTTCTCTCTCTCTATGCATGAGTTTTCCAGGCCTCTCATGACAAAATCCTGCAAACTGGGTGGCTTAAACCACAGAACTGTATCGTCCCACCATTCCGGAGGACAGAAGCTCAGGATCAAGGTGTCCCAGGGCTGGTTCTTTCTGAAGGCGATCTTTGGCATTCTTGATCTTTGCCTTCATCGTCACGTGTTCTCCTCACGTGCATTGCTGAGCCTGGACCTTCCCCCGAAATCTCTCTTCTCCCCAACACTTGTGCCTCCATCTGTGTCTTTAGTTTAATGAATGACAACAGCCTCCATCCAAGACAGAAGAATATTGTCAATCGCTTTCAAAAGGTGCCCAGTGATCAAGTACTGATGATTCTATCACATCTCTCCCAACCTTGCCTTCCAGGTCATAACAGGGATAGGGGTGCAGCTTAGAAAACTGCAAGGCCCTCCCAACAGTCTTCCCACCTCCATTTCTTAACCATCTTATCAGCCTTCCTCCATGGTCTCATCAGTGTTATTTCCAAGGAGCAACTTTATTATTATTTTTTTAATATTCAGGTTTTTTTCTTTTGGTGGTAAAATATACATCTAAAATTTACCATCTTTACATTTGAAGATGTAAAGTTCAGTGGTCTTAAATATATTCATATTGTTGTGTGACCGTCCCCACCATCCATCCCCGTAACTCTTTTCTTGGGTAGAAGTAAAACTCTACACCTATTCAGTATTATTTCTCCATTCTCCCCTCCCCTCTAGCCCCTGGGCGCCACTGTTCTGCTTTCTATCTGTATGATTTTGACTACTCTAAGCACGTCCTATAAGTGGAATCACACAGTATTTATTCTTTCTTTCTTTCTTTCTTTTTATTAAGGTATTACTGATATATACTCTTACAAAGGTTTCACATGAAAAACAGTGTGGTTACTACATTCACCCATATTATTGTGTCCCCCCCATATCCCATTGCAGTCACTGCCATCAGTTAGTAAGATGCCAGAGTCACAGAGTAAGTTGCCTTCTCACACAGTATTTATTTTCTTGTGACTGGTTGATTTCACTTAGCATGATATCCCCAAGGCCCATCCACGTTGCAACATATTGCAGGACTTACTTTCTTCTTAAGGATGGATAATATTCCATCTGATGTATAGACCATATTTTGCTTAACTATTCATCCATCATTGGACACTTGGGTTGCTTCGACCTTTTAACTATCGTGACTAATGCTGCCATGAACATGGTGTACAAATATCTCTTTGAGGCCCTGCTTCGGGTATATACCCAGAGGTGGAATTGCTGAATCATACAGAACCAAATAAAAACAATGCTAGTTTTACTTCTTTGAGGAATTACTGCACTATTTTCCACAGTGACTGTACCGTTTTACATTCCTGCCAACAGGGCGCAAGGATTCTTATTTCTCCCTATCTTCACTAACACTAGCTGTTTTCTGTTTTTTGGGTAGTGGCCATCCCGTTGGGTGTGAAGTGGTATTTTGTGGTGGTTTTGATTTGTTTTTCCCTAGTGATGCTGGACATTTTTTCATGGGCTTATTGGCCATTTGAGTACCTTTGGAGAAGTGTCTATTCATGTCATCTGCTCTTTTCTTTGAATCAGGTTGTTTGTATTTTGTTGTTGAGTTTTAAGAGTTCTTTATATGTTCTGGATATTAATCCCTTATCGTATAACATATATAATAAATATATATGATTTGCAAATATTCTGTTTCTTATGTCTTTCTTGATGCTGAAGCATTGCCAGGGCCCTTGGCACTTGCTGAGTCTCCCTGTTGAGCAATCGTAGCTGAACCTAGGCGTGGGTTTGAGGTTGATGGTCAGCGGCCAGGGCTGGGCCTGCTGCACCCCACCCTCTGCTGATGTCCCTGGATTCGGTGACTCATGGGTGGGGTCTGGCATTTGGGCCTGCAGCTGTGGGTCCTGGGCTGTGTGATGCATGGAAGGCAGAATCACCTGCTTAAACCTGAGCGAGAAAGAGAAGTGTGAAGAAGGGAGCAGGAGAAAGTGAGGGAGAAAGACGGCAAGACCACACAGCCCAGGTTCTTCTGTCGTTGTGAGTATTATGATCACTTTGCTCTCGAAGGGGAGGGCCCCTGCCGCTCTCACTTGCCATCCCACTGAGCTGAGAGTTTTCCTGAGCCCCAGGGGGTGGGTGAGGTGGCAGCCATGTGGACTGTCACCAGCTCCTGTGCTCAGATCTACCTTACGTTGACTAGCTGGGGGCCTTGCAGTGAAGCCCGCCAGAGGTGAGGGTGACTTCGGTGAGACCAGAGAGGTGGACTGGGGGAGGTGGTCATGTCTTCACAAATGAAACATGAGCTCTGTGTCATTGAGGAACCTGTGAGAAAAGGACACTGGGTCCGAGCCATGGGATCCCGGGCCCAGCTGGCTGTGCATCTGACCTCAGGCTGGTTTTGTATGAGTCACTTAAGTTTTGGGCTCTGGTTTCTTCAACCCCAACCCGAGGAGGCGACTGGACAGGGCCCGGAGACTATGACGAATGACCATTACTGGGGGATAAAATCAACTTGGGTGTTGCAACCAGCATTTAAAAAAAAACCAAAAAGAATAGAATGGAAAACATTCCAGTGCATAGAATGTAATAAGGTAAGTATCATTTTATGAGACTTTTGTTTCACGTGTAAATATGGGTGGTAATTTGGAGCCGAAATGTAAACCTATTTCTTTCTTTCTTTTTTTTTATTAAGATATGATTGATATACACTCTTATGAAGGTTTCACATGAAAAAACAATGTGGTTACTACAGTCGCCCACATCATCAAGTCCCCACCCACACCCCAATGCAGTCGCTGTCCGTCAGTGCAGCAAGATGCCAGAGATCCACTATGTGCCTTCTCTGTGCTGCACTGTTCTCCCCATGATCCCCCACACCGTATAAACCTATTTCTTACTGTGGATTTCAGTCAAAACACTTGTAAAAATCCTGGAGTCAATGAAGCTCCTCTGCAGCAACCACATTGACTATTTCTAGGTTGGTTATCAAACATCTCAAGACCATGCACTTCTTTTCTACTACTTTTCCCTCCTCACCTATAGACACACATATACTTTTGCAATTTTTTTCCAGGGATCTTCCTTTATTTATTTAGCTTGAGAACTAAAGTTTTTGAAAAATCAAGAAGCCATGTAGTAGCACGAGCGAGACGGAGGGAGGAAGAAAAAAGGAGAAGCGAGAACTTGCCGGTACCTGCAGGCGAGGAATGATCCATCGAGGCTGGATGGCTGTTTGCAGGGTCTTCCTGCTCCTCTGCCTCCCAGGTGAGTGGGACCTTGGCCTTGAGCGTGTCTACTCTGTAGAGCTGATAGGGAGAAAGAGAATCTGTAGGCAGAGACCAATATAAGAGGCACAGAAGTCTGGGAAAATCTTCCTGGAAGATTCCAAGTACTCTTCTGTGTAGTTTATTTTCCCTTTATGTCCTCCCTTGTGAATAGAAAAGGCAAAAATTACCCCCAGGATAACCGCCATTCCCCTTTGCCTGACTTGAAGCATAAACCGTGCGGGCAAACGGGGTCTCTCGTGCGGAACTGTGCACTGTCCCTGTCAGGGTGAGAAAGTGGTTGATGTCAGTCCGGTTATGGTCCACACATCTGTCTGGGCCTTTGCCTGGCTGCCTCTTGTTCCCTTTCTCATGTCTCTGCTCCCACGGAGCTCCCCGCGTTGGAGGGAAGCCCCGCCAGGCCTTCCTCCCGGTTACCCGCTGGAGGGGCCTCGCTCCGCAGGGTATTTCAGCTTTAGTCCTGTGACCTGAGAGCAGTAGATTCTCCCTTTCTCCCTTCTCCTCCAATACTCAGATTCCAAATCCCACCATCCTAATGCTGTGTTAACCTGGGGATTAATGCGGCCCTGGCCTGGCGGGGATAGATAAAGCCCTTTGGGGGCTGCTTTGAGGATTAAACCTATTAACACCTGTTAAGAGCATAGAACAGCTCCCATCCTTTCTAAGCCCTGGATCACTGTGAGCTGTTATAACGAGGATGGTGCTGGATCTTTGCTCCATTATCTCCCACCTCCCCCACCCTGCCTTGCCCTTCTTAATGAAGAGGGTCAAGTCGGGCCTATAAAAGAGTGAAAACCACCCAAGAGAGGTCAAAATGGCTCGGGGAGAGAGGTGAGTGTGGAGAAAGGGTTGGAGAGGAGGAGTATGCGTACTTTATGTAGGAGGTGGTTAATTGCCACAGAGGGAGGATAGTTCTGGTCTCCCAGAGAAGCAACAGAAAAATCATCAGGTCCAAGGAGGCCGCAGCTGCCCGGGTAGGTGTGTGTTTGTACAACTAGGCATGTTTCCTGCAGAGGCGTGAGCCTGTGAGGACATGGAGGGACTCCCCGGGGAGGGGGGATGGCGTATCTGTTCATTCAGGGTCACTGCGAGGAGCAGTGATGGGGGGCTGGAGCCCCAGGACACACTGGCTGAAGATGTGTGCATTTGTGTCTTTCAGGCCATTTTGCTGTGAGCATCCCCAGAATCTTAAACGGCACGGTGGGAGGGACTCTGGGGATGAAGTGCCGGTACAGTGCGGGAGAAGAGGGCCACAGAAAGTTCTGGTGCCGAGGGCCCAACTGGAAAGACTGTGTCCGAGTCATTGAAACGACACAGAGAGCTGGACAGAAGGTGAGGCACGGCCGCTTGACCCTCCAAGACAGCCCCAGAGAGCACTTCTTCCTCGTGATCATGGAGGACCTGGAGGAGGGAGACGCAGACACGTACTGGTGTGGGGTGAACAGGGGCACAGGAGTCCCCCAGGCCCCAGCGGCAGTGACTGTTTTTCCAGGTAATACTTCCCCACCCCCTTTGCCTGGCACGGGCTGAGGTCAGGGGTACCTGGTGCCTCTTGCTCAAGGGTGAATGGAGGGTCCAGCCGTAGCTCCAGGACTGGCGGTTCAAGGGGGACAAGGAATGCACCCATGTGTGTGCACATGCATGTGTCAGAGCATCATCTGTGCCTGCATGTAAACATGCCAGATGGGATGTGTTGGGTTATAGCTTGGGCCCTGCAGTCAGAAAGCTGTGTTCAAGTCTCAGCTCTGCCACTTGCTGGCTGTGTGAGCTGGACGAGTTCCTTAACCAGCAGGTGCCTCAGTTTCCCAGCAGTAAAATGGGATTAATAATAGTATTGCCTCTGGAGTGACTATGAGTATTAATGAGTTGACAGGTGTAAAGCGCTGATTCCAGTAGCTGGTAGTTAGGACTTGCAGTAGCCATTGGCACTACCATCCAGGTCAAATAAAGCTGTAATTCTCAAATCTCTAGGTTCCAGGTGGGGGAGTTGCTTTGTATCTGGGTCCTGGGTTTCTCTCTCAGTCATCAAAAACATTTATTGCCTGTCTATTATGGACTGGGTACGGCGTGGGAGGTGGGGTGGGAGTGCGGACAGTAGGCAGACACAGTCTCTGCCCTCCTGAGCCCAGCGGCTTGTGGGTGGATGGCAGATGTGGACTCTGTGGTGGGGGGTGAAGAGAGAAAGGGACAGAGTGCAGGGTAGCTTGGGACATCTGGTGGAGGGCCCGTTGTAGATCTGAGGCTCCTCACATCTGCACAGATGGTAACAGGTGCAACGCAAGAGGAATGGGGCAGGGCTGGGGTGGGGGGATTAAGTCATGTTTAGGGGCTACTCTAGGTACAGGAGGCCCTCTGAGCAGGCGACATTTAAGCTGTGTCACCTGCCCCCTGCCCCCCAGCCCTGCCTTCCTGGCCCTTCTTAGCCTAACGGGGGCACATCTGTGTAGTTACACTTCCCTCACTCAGCAGGGGGCACATGTAAATTCACGCCAGCATTTCCCCTGTGGTTATTTTGTGCCGTGTGCCTGGTCTGGGGGCGGGGTGTGCAGAGAGAGAGGGAGGGTCTGGGTCCTGCCCTCTGGGGCACACTGGACTTCCGAAGCCTCCCCTCCCCCGCTGTGGGAACACGATGGAGCCCCCCTGAAGTCTTGGGGGCTTCCCGAAGGGCTGGTGGAGGCCCTGAGTGATCCTACCTTCCCAGCGCCGCCCGCTAGCGACTCATCACTCTATGCCTGGTCTACCCTGGTGTGAGACAGGGCTGGGGGCCCCCGCAGGGAGTGGTACTGCGCTCCTCCTGCCCACCCTTGGCACCTCCCCACCCCAAGGACCTTCTCCTCTCTCTGCGCGGCCCCTCCCTTCCCAGGCTCCCATGAGGAAGGTGAGACATGCAGTTTCATGGGGACTATAGACTCTGGGCCCTTGGGAGGTTGGAGCAGAGAGTGACTTGTGACCTGCTCTGTAGGCTCAGTGATGGTAGCAGTGAGGCCCACTGAGGCGCCGGCCAGCCCAGGATCCCTGGCTCTGACCAGACGTGTGTCCAGCCCTGGCCTTCCTGCCTGGTAAGAAAAGTTGAGTCCCTGTAGGGGGTTCCCCCTGTCCTGGCTTTGACAGGCCCCTTCGGGGATGCTGAGGCTGGGACTCTGGCCCTGGTGTGCCACTCAGGGACCCGCTGCGGCTCCCAGCTAGCGCCCAGAGCTCCTGTGCCTGGTCTCTGCCTCAGCTCCCCGCTCTGTCTCCTTCCCAGACTCTAAGTGTGAGGGGGTTAGTGTCCAGTGTCAGCTTCCCACCACAGCCCCACTTTTTACTAGCAGGATGATGACACTGGGTAAGCTACTGCTCTGTGCCTCAGTTTCCTCATCTGTAAGATGAAGATGATGCTAGATAATAAGGCTGTTTTATGTCATGATTTAGTGGCATGATGTAATCGTTTGTGGCGTTCACGGGTCTATGGGTCAGGGATGCGGACAGGGTGCAGTAGGGGAAATTGCTCTGCTCCAGGCTGTCTGGAACCTCAGCTGGAAGATTCACGTGCTGGGAGCTGGACCACCTAACATCCCTCTCGCTTACACGCTGATGTTCACTCCCTGCTGTTAGGCTCTGGGCTGGAATTCCACGCATGGCTTCTGCCTGTGGTCTGGGCTTCCTCACACGACAGCAGCGGGGTCACGGGCAAGTGTTCCGAGGGAGCGAGCCAGGTGTGACCTCGGAGGTCACACAGTGTCGCTCCGTCATAGTCCATCACTGAGGCAGTCACGAGCCTACTCAGGTTCAAGGGGATGGGAAATAAACTCCACCTCTTGATAGGGTGGTGGTAAGCTTCCAGAAGAGCACATGGGACTGGGAATACCACTGTGGCCATATTGGGAATACACAACCTGCCATGTTATAGAAACAACACTGCCGCACAGGGTCATTGTGAGGAGTATGTGAGATGAACCCGGGAAAGCAGGAAGCGCAGGGCCCTCAGGTGGTGCACCCAGCCTCATCAGCCACGAGCCACTCTCTCCTGCTTTCCCTTCTGTCTCTCTGTCCCTCTCAGGCCCGACTCTGAGGGACAGTGTGAGGCCTGCTGATGGCCATGACTCCTGTCTGGGGTTTGGGGCCCACAGGTGGGAGATGAGGTGGGGCCTGGCCTCTCGGGTGACTGTAGCAATTGCTTTCTCACTGACCCGTCTCCTCGACCAGGCCCTTCCTGCTCTTTGCCAGTTTCCTGTTCCTGGCTCTGCTGAAGGTCATCCTCTTTCTGAGCTTCAGCTATGCAGCCATCTGGTTGGCCTGGCTTCAGCATCACCTGTGAGGTGGCACAGCCAACCCAGCAAACTGGCAGCTCCCACCCCAGTGGCTTCCTGTCCTGTGATGCAGCTCCTGGCCACCTCCCCTGCAAATTCAGTGGACCTGGAAACGAGTCGGCCCCACCAGACTTGCGCGCCTGGGTGCCGAGTCACCTGTGCCGGATCCCTTGCTGGGATGGCCCAGCAGACACCAGGGCACAGATAAGGACGTGGGCCCTGCACTCAGATGGATGTGTGTTCAAACCCCGGTGCTGCCACTTACCATGGGACCCAGGAGCGGTGATTTGACGGGCCTTATCATTTGTTTCTTGGATTTGTATATAATTGGGATAATATATGGAGGACACTGGCCGCACAGGAGGGGCTCCCACATGGAGCTGCTTCACACTGTAGTTTCTGGTTTGGGTCCAGGAAAGAGAGAGGAGGGTGGGCAGGAAAGGAATCTGGGAGGAGACAGCCAGTCACTCTGGGACTCCTGCTTGACTCTAGACGCAATGGGGGCAGTGGTGTTAGCCCCCAGGCATCATGCCTGCGTCTGTATGAATGTGCAGCGCCCACCATGCATTCAGTAACGAACAAAGGGAATGGTGAATGGAGGCCTCGCCTCTCAGGGCAGCTGAGAGCTCTGCCCTTACATGCAGTAAGTGGGAAGGTTTCCCTGTGGCAAGTTCCAGAGCTGGGCTCAGCTCCCTCCTGGAGGGGCAGTGGCTAGGCATCAAGGAGTCCTGACCCAGCTCCAGCTGGAAACCCACTTCCTCTCTCTTTGTCCCTTTGTCCTCCATACCTAGTGGCCTCTGTCCCCTGGGAAGACTTCCTTTCTCCCTCCTGGTTAAGCCTGATGCCCTGGGTACAGAGGTTGTATTTCATCCGCTGCTCTTCTTGACCACCCCCCTCCCACTGGGTTTGTATGACCTCCCAAAGAATCACACGTGACTTCTCTGTCTTCATTCAAGTTGGCAGAAATATTGAACAGGTGAGATTCAAGGTGGAGCCTTTGAGCATCCACTGCCGACCACTTAGCAGGTGACATGGCCTCTTTCCTCCAGGACAAGACTGTAGCAGGCACCCTGATGCTGCCCATCTGGATGGATGGAACAACAGGCTGTTTGTTGATCAGTGGGTCACTTCTAGTTGAAGAAAGACATCTTCATACCTTTGGATGAATTCATTAGCAAGACAATAAACCTCACAATCCCTAGCACCCTAAGTAAATGGCTTTCTTTTCCTTGGCCTGCTGAGGAGCTTACAAAGGGGACCAGGCATAGCTGGGGTGAAGTGAAGGTGGGCTTGACCTAGTGATTCACTTCTAGTGAACAGAATATGGCAAAGTAACGGGATTCCACTTCTGCCATTTGGTTATGCAAAGACTCTGGCTTCTGCCTTGCTGGCTTTTGCTTGCTTGCTGTGCTGGAAGCCAGGGCTGTGGAACCTATGCGTGACAACCAAGGACAGTGTGGGATCCCAAGGGAATGGGCCTCCCAGGGCTGAGGCTGGGCCTGTGGGGGCTGGGTGGCCTCAGCCAGCGATGGGGCAAGGTGTCATCAAGCCGCCCTGTGGCTGTGGTTTTAGGTCATTGTCCTTCTCAGCAGGCTCTTCCCCATCCTGATAACTTTGCAGCTTAAAATGCTTTCCGACTCTCCTGCTTTGCTTTCCAGCTCCCCACTCTGTTTTGCTGACCCCTCCTCTCCATCTATAAATGTGGCCAAGTCTAGCAGCTCAGCTCATGGCCCTGTCCACTTATCCCTTGGATACCTCAACCAGTCTCATGGTTTTAAATAACGGTAACTACCTCCGACTTCCAAATTCATGTCTTTCACCTGGACCACAGGTTGTATGTTCAGTTCCCCAGTAGATAGTCCACTTGGATGTCTGATGGGCTCCGGGAGCTCAACTACAGCCGGTGTGGAGTGCTGGATTCCGTCCTCACCCCCAAAGCCTTCTCCCATCTTAGGAAGTGGCACCAGTTTTGTGGACTGACTTGTGTCCCCTGAAAATTCATCTGTTGGAGTGTTGGACCTTACTTGGAGACAGGGGCTTTAAATAGGTGACTAAGTTGAGTCTATAAGGGTGGATCCTAGTCCAGTACAATTGGTGTCCTTATGAGAAGAGATTAGGACACAGACATGCACAAAGGGACGACCATGTGAGGACGCAGGGTGAAGGCAGCCACCTGCGCGTCAAGGAGAGAGGCCTCAGGAGG